GAGCTGGAGAATTTATTTTGGGTTGTTCTTTGGTGTTAGGTTATGGCAGTCACAAGAAACACACAGCTAAATAAAAAATATATATATTTTTTTTTACTATTTTTGGCCAGTTTTCCTTTGATAATAAAAAAAAAATAATCAGGAGATATCCATTACCATTTACCACCAAATGAAAGCCCAATTTGTCCTGAAATTCACCTGCATGTACAAAGTAGTTGTGATCATATGTACGGTTTTACTAACACATGTCAACGTTGCAAAATTGTGCTTAGGCATTTAGATTTGTTTTACCCTTAGGCGTGAAGGGGTTAAAGTAGTGTTGAACCACCATCAATGTGATCTTGCAGTGATTATCACCCTATTGAATTCAACACTCACCAGAAGCTGGTGAATAACCAGCAGTGGAAACTCAGTAGAAAATCAATCACCTTAATGCTGAATAGTTGTAAAAAGACAATTGGACAATCAGCCAGCAACCCAAACAACCTTCAATCAATGGAATATCAACCACTCATGCTCTGATCTCCTCATCAGCCCGATTAGATGATATCAATCCATATGTTGGCAAAATAAAACAGCCACATAGTGTAATACTGTAAACATATTTATTGCCTTGAAAACCCCCCTTTTTAAAATGCACTCACATTGAGTAAAAAAGTAATGCACTTTATAAGCAAAACCTTCCAATAAAATGGCCGCCGTTAGTACGGTTGGTGATAGTCTCACCACAAACTGGTTTCCTGTGGATTCCCAGCAATAGCGGTCACGTGATCTCACCACGTGGTCCCGGCGTGCGTGCTGACGTCACAGACCGTCACGCCCCATTCAACATCCAATGTTTGGATATTGAAGAGTATTTCTTTCAATCGATATTTTAATATTGATTCATTAATAAACATTGTAAATTTTAGCTTTGTTGTTGCTCTATTATTGTATGGCACCCTACAAATCCCGTTATCTCCTCTTAATATGGGGAGTTTCTTCCCCCACCTTTTTCTTCCTCCTTTTTTTTCCTCCCCTTTTTCTTTTCTTGTTATTTTGAATGAATTAGTTGTTTTTATCATTTATTTTGAATTTGTTGAAGTTTTTCACTATTGGGATTTAACCACTTCAAATCCGGACACTTTCACCCCCTTCCTGCCCAGGCCAATTTTCAGCTTTCAGTGCTGTCACACTTTGAATGACAATTGCGCGATCATGCAACACTGTACCCGTATGAATTTTTTAGCATTTTTGTGAGACAGATAAAACTTTATTTTGGTCGTATTTATTCACCACTGGGATTTTTTTTTTTTTTGCTATATAAATGAAAAAGTCCAAAAAGTTTGAAAAAAAGTGTTTTTCTTATAAAATTTTGCAAATAAATAAAAATTTCTTCATAAATCTTGGCCACAATTTATTTAGTAAAAAAAAATAACCCAAATTAGTTTATAATCAAAAATTACAATTTTTTATATTATTTATGTTTTTTTTTTTTTTTTACATACTGTCACCCTAGCAGTACAGTGTCACCATGGTAGATTTTTTTTTTCTTTACACTGATTGCTTTTATACCCATAAAGGCTGGAAAAGCAATAATTTCTCCTTCTCTCTGGCTGCATTCTTGCAGCCATTGAGAAATACTGTGAGAGCTGTGATTGGTCACAGCTTGTCACATGGTACAAGGCTGTTGTGAATAGCCTTGTGCCATGTGACCTCTGTGATCATTCACAGATTTCACACGTAGTAAGCAATGATGTCAGAAGTTACATCTTGCTTACTACTCTTCATGTGATCACTGATTGGCCAATCAGTGATCACATGATCGGGACCTCGCACAGAGGTCCCGTTGAACAATCGGTGTTCCACTGTCTCCGGAGGACACAGCGGGCACCGGATCGCGTTACTGCTCGCTCCCAGGCAGCACGCACAAGCAGGGGCCAGGAAGGCCATTTATAAATGGCCACCCACCCCTGCACTGCCACCGTCTGGCCGTTTATATACAACGGCCAGACAGGAAGTGTTTAAAGAGTCGGATACATCCGAATCTCTGAATAATGAAAATGTTGTCTAAATTTTGGTTCATAACGAAACACATTGCACATGTCTAATTGTATAAACTTTTAAAAACTCATTGACGTGACACAACATTAGATCAGTCGCAATCAGGGGCGGACTGACCATTTGGAAACTCGGGCACTGCCCAAGGGCCTGAGGTCAGTAGGGGGCCCCATGAGACACCCCTGGTACCTTTTTCATAGGCTTTTTTGAGTTTGGGCAAGGACACAGGGGCCCCATGATCCCCTATTGCCCTGGGGCCCCATGAGTTGTCAGTCCGCCCCTGGTCACAATGTTGTGGAGAGAGTTATTAGCATACAAGGCGTGATTCATCACAACTATCATTAGACCCCTCGAAATAGGAAGAACGAAAATCCCCTGATGGAAACAAACACCTTATAAAGACGTTTATTGTGTGGGATTGTCAGAGAATTCTCAGTGTACCCACTTCTGCCTCTTGATTTTTTTTAATATGTAAATTATAATTGTTTCCTCTTTGGATTTCCTGTTTGATAACAACACCTGCTGTGTATACAGAGGAGAAAGATACAACAGCATTCTGTCTGGGTAAATACAAAGAAAGGTACAATGTTATATCTGAGTACTGTAAACATCATCAATCATTTGCTGCTGACAAAAATGTGGTTAGTCCAGCAGAAAAGATGGCCTCATATCAGTAGCTATGTATAAATAAATACAGATTTAAAAAAACTATTGATTAGATGAAGGCCAGGTGAACTGATAAATGAACAGTCGCAATATGTATATGCAAGCTGTTTTATCTGCCAAAGGATCTAAGGTTCTGTTGTGCCATTCTGGTAATGCACACCTGCCAGACTGTATAGCCAGGACCTCGACTTTTCTACATTTAAATGATACATTCGGATCAAGGGCCTTACCTGGTTTGTGACTGGACAATATGCACTTAAAGTGTTACTAAACCCACAACAGTAAAACCAGTCTGTATATGCAGTAAAGTATGCTTGTTATAGTCACTGTGGAACCTAAGGGGTTAATCCTCTGCATTGTTTAAAAAGGCTGTTTGATCCTGGCTTCTCTAATACTCCCCTTCTTCTACTGTCCCCATTCCATCTGCTGATAGTACAGAACTCTAGGAGTTACTCTGCACATGCTCGGTTTAGTGTGTATTGCTAGAGTTTTTTTTTTCTTTGAGAGAGTGCATGTTATCAACACAGGGCCAATGAGCACTGTCCAGATAGAGGGTCAGGGGTTATGCAGCCTTTTAGGACAGTCAGAGCAGAATGAAAACTCCTGATAAGATATATTGTGTAGAGACACTCTGCACATGCTCGGTTTAGTGTGTATTGCTAGAGTTTTTTTTTTCTTTGAGAGAGTGCATGTTATCAACACAGGGCCAATCAGCACTGTCCAGACAGAGGGTCAGGGGTTATGCAGCCTCATAGGGCAGTCTGAGCAGAATGAAAACTCCTGATACAATATATCGTGTAGAGACAGTCTGCACATGCTCAGTTTAGTGTGTGTTGCTAGAGAATTTTTTTTTTTCTAGGGAGAGGGCATGTGATCAGCACAGGGCCAATCATCACTGTCCAGACAGAGGGTCAGGGGTTATGCATCCTCATAGGACAGTCAGAGCAGAATAAAAACTCTGATAAGATATATTGTGTAGACACTCTGCACATGCTCAGTTTAGTGTGTATTGCTAGAGAGGTTTCTTTTTTTTTTTTCTTTGAGAGGGTGCATATTATCAACACAGGGCCAATCAGCACTGTCCAGAGTATTGCTAGAGAGTTATACTTGCTGTGGAACCTAAGGGGTTAATCCTGCGCATTGTGTAAAAAGGCTGTTTGATCCTGACTTCTCTGATCCTCCCCTACTCCCAATGTCTCCCTCTTATCTCCTGATAAGATATATCGTGTAGAGTCACTCTGTACATGCTTAGTTTAGTGTGTTTTTTTTTTCTAGGGAGAGTGCATGTGATCAGCACAGGGCCAATCAGCACTGTCCAGACTGAGGGTCAGGGGTTATGTATCCTCGTAGAGCAGAAAGAAACTCCTCCTACGAACTTTAACATGTGCTTTGCGGAACACTGATAGAAGTCACAAGACTGCTCTAACTGCTGATGAGAAAAGATATTTAGCAGTTTATATTTACTAAAATAATTGTGTACTAGGGAGACCAGATATAGTGAATGCAGGGTCCGGGGTTTAGTAACACTTTAAGCTAGAGATTTACACAAATTATGATACTTATTACAGATCTGTATAAATATATTTTGTTTCTTAATAAATACAAATAATACAACGCATTTAATATATTTATTGTACAAATGATAATATGTTTGTAACCTACACTGAAATCAGATAATACTGAACTCATTCAGAAACTTCAGATGTGCAATTAGTCGTATAATGAAATATAGCAGAACAATAATTCGCACAACACAAAACCCCATGCCACCTTCACGGATCAATTCTTTTAATGGCAATAGGTTATTGAAAGTTTTACTTTACTAATAAAATAACATAATTTATTATAGACAAACTAAAAACTGATTGAGAATTGTCCATTCCTTGAGACCCCGATCTTATGAAGTAATGAGTCTAAAGCTGGCCACATGAGTTACAATCTTATTGTACAATCTAACAGCTTGAAAAGTCCCAAATTGTGAGTTGTCACCAGAACAGGAAGATCTTCCAAAGGGGACACTAGTGCTTTTGACCCTGATGACTACCTTCAACTTGGAGGGATAACCTCGGTATTCCTGATTCGGCTATGGAACAGTAAGTGATGAAAGGTGAAAGGAAGGAAAATCTCCCTCCACCAGATGAACCCCCCCCCAAAAAAAAAAAAAAAACCCTGACAGGGTTTATACCACCCCCCCCTCCTTTACTCTACCAAAAATTAACAAAAAAAAAATTGCCTTTGGTTTTACTTTAATTAGGAATCATGGCCTCCTTCCCAGAATCCCCTCCTCTGCTCACCCTTCTTCTAGTGTTGCTCTTGTGTTCAGACTTTCCGACACGCTTCCATTCAACATATGAGCTTCTTCTCCATCTCCTAAGTTGTCCATCTCCATAGTGGGTACACGGCACGTCTATGTGTGAGCGGATATCAGAAGCAGGAGTGCAGAGACCGCGGTGAGTAGAATACTGACTTGGTGCTGGAGAAGAGACATCAAAATTAGTGAGGATCAGGATGACACCACACTGGTCTATAGATAGAAGAGGCCTACTGTATATCTTATTTTTTATGGCAATGGAACATCTCATTGTATCACTCGGTCTACAATGGCTAATGGTGAGCATTTAATCAGTGCATGATACTTTCTGGATTGGTGACGCTCAATTTGTACAGGTGAATTACACTATATTGCCAAATGTATCTCTGCCAATCCCTCCACTGGCTTCCCATTGACCAATGGATAAAATTAAAAACATTAACAATAACATATAAAGCCATTTATAACTCTGCCCCAAATTACATCACCAATCTTGTCTCCAAATATCACCCAAACCATCCTCTCCGCTCCTCATACAACCTCCTGCTCTCTAGCTCCCTTGTCTCCTCCTCCCATGCTCGTCTCCAGGACTTCTCCAGAGCTTCCCCCATCCTCTGGAACTCTCTACCCCAATTTATCAGACTATTGTCTACTCTGCTCATTTTTAGGCGATCTCTAAAAACGTATCTCTTCAGGGAAGCCTATCCTGCCCTCAGCTAATAATGGAATCTTCTACTCCTCCTACCGGTCTATCCCCCACAGTTACTACCTTTTGTACCACTAGCCCCTCCCTCTTAGATTGTAAGCTCCAAGGAGCAGGGCCCTACTATCCCTCTTGTATTGAACTGTATTGTTGCTGTATCATCTCCTGTTATATTGTAAAGCGCTGAGCAAATTGTTGGCGCTATATAAATCCTGTATAATAATAATAATAAGTATTGGGGACACCCGTCCAGATCATTTGATTCAGGTGTTCCAATCACCTCCATGGCCACAGGTGTATACAATCAAGCACCTAGGCATGCAGACTGCTTCTACAAACATTTGTGAAAGAATGGGTCGCTCTCAGCTCAGTGAATTCAAGTGTGGTCCCGTGATAGGTTGCCACCTGTGCAATAAGTCCATCTGTGACATTTCCTTGCTACTAAATATTCCACGGTCAACTGTTAGTGGTATTATAATGAATTGGAGGCAACTGGGAATGACAGCAACTCAGCCACCAAGTGGTAGGCCACGTAAAATGACAGAGCGGGGGGGTCAGTGCATTCTGAAGCGCACAGTGCGCAGAAATCACCAACTGTCTGCAGAGTCAATAGCTAAAGACCTCCAAATTTCATTTGGCCTTCAGATTAACACAACAACAGTGTGTAGAGAGCTTCATGGAATGGGATTCCATGGCCAAACAGCTGCATCCATGCCTTACATCACCAAGTGCAATGCAAAGTCTCCGATGCGGTGGTGTAAAGCACGCCGCCACTGGACTCTAGAGCAGGGGAGACGTTATATTGATTGACAAATCCAATAGATGCAGGGCCGGAGTTTCCACTAGGCAAACTAGGCAGCTGCCTAGGGTGCACTGCCACCTAGGGCTGCCTGGGCGCAGCACATGGCCTATGGACCTATTGCAGGAATTCATCATTTCTCTGCAGAGTACTCCTCTCCTCATACACAGGGAATGATGAGGGAATGATGATCTCTTTGCTCTGCACAACTGTCTCACAGCCTGTCCACACACACACGACCATTTTTAGTGTTTTATATATATATATATATATATATATATATATACATACACACAGTATATACACACACAACAATATTCTATGTAGCAGTGAAGTTACATTTCCCCCTAGGATGGGAGTGATGGCATTATCCCAGGACCCCGGGTGGTCAGCAGTCTCTGATCGGAGATAGGTGGAGGTTTGCTCTGGTTGCAGGGTTAACCCTATGAGTAGAGGGCCCGATGTGTATGAGAGGGAAGCGGTGTAGTGCTGGGAAGCTGCCTGGACTCTGCACCAAGACAGGAGCCATCAGAGGTGAGCTGAGCTGAAGAGAATGGCAGGTCAGGGAGGTGACAGGAAGAGGAGGGGGGTGGACAATGGTCGGGGTGAGGGGGTGTGGATGCTGATTGATCGAGTGGGGACACCACCACGTCATAAATTATACTTCAGCTGAGGGGAGGGGCGGCAGAGGTGGAGGAATAAAGGACAGTGCAATATGCCAGGTGTCTGGGGCCAGTGCAGCAGCTAAGCCTCCTTTTTTTCCCAGTGTTCCTCTTAGACTCAGTCCCTTACAAGCCGGCTGGTGGCTGCTGATCACTGTGGAGCATTGAAACTCTGTCTCTTTTTTTTTTTCCTGTTTTCTGTCTGATTGGTTAATACAGTTAATTTATATTTGGTTAATATATATTTTATCTTTAATATTGGTGCTGGTGGCATCTTATGGTACTTATTTTTGCAAATTAAAAGAAGTTTAGTAGTTTCATGTTTTGATGATTTAACATTTTCTACTGTTTTTAAAAATGTTTTTATTTATTTATTTATTTTGGGGGGGCACAATTAGCTGGTCTCTCCTAGGGCACAGAATAGTCTAGCACCAGCCCTGGCTGGATGTGTCTGGGTTTTGCGGTTGCCAGGAGAACAGTACTCTCCTGACTGCATTGTGCCAAGCAGGGGCGGACTGGCAACTCATGGGGCCCCCGGGCAATAGGGGATCATGGGGCCCCTGTGTCCTTGCTCAAACTCAAAAAAGCCTATGAAAAAGGTACCAGGGGCATCTCATGGTGCCCCCTACTGACCCCGGGCCCTCGGGCAGTGCCCGAGCTTCCAAATGGTCAGTCCGCCCCTGGTGCCAAGTGTAACGTTTGGTAGAGGGGGGATTATGGTGTGGGGTTTTTTTTCAGGGGTTGGGCTTGGCTCCTTAGTTCCAGTGAAGGGAACTCTTAAGGCATCAGCATACCAAGATATTTTGGACAATTTCATGCTCCCAACTTTGTGGGAAAGTTTGGGGATGACCCCTTCCTGTTCCAACATGACTGTGCGCCAGTGCACAAAGCAAGGTCCATAAAGACATGGATGAGTGAGTTTGGGGTGAAGGAATTTGACTGGCCTGCACAGAGTCCTGACCTCAACCCGATAGAACATCTTTGGGATGAATTACAACGGAGACTGCCAGCCAGGCCTTCTCATCTCACATCAGTACCTGATCTTACAAACGCGCTTCTGGAAGAATGGTCAAACATCCCCATAGACACACTACTAAACCTTGTGGACAGCCTTCCCAGAAGAGTTGAAGCTGTTATAGCTGCAAAGGGTGGGCCAACTCAATACTGAACCCTACGGACTAAGACTGGGATGCCATTAAAGTTCATGTGCGTGTAAAGGCAGGCGTCCCAATACTTTTGGCAACATAGTGTATATTTAACGTGTTTCTCTAGATATCTGAGCCCCAGTTCAAGCTCATAGTTTTAGTCTTTGGTTTAAAAAAAGAGAACTATAAATTTAGCCTTAAAGTGATTGTAAACATCTGAAATGAAAAATGAACAAAGCATATCCCTCTATATTGTGTACTAGTCTCAATCCAATCAATCTCTTCCCTCTGCTATCTGCATTAGTCACTTCTAACAGGTTACCCTGACACCACAGAATCTCAGGAGACAGCCCCAGCCACCCTCCTGTGCACAGAAAGTGACTGACAGCTTCAGCTGTGCATGTTTCCCCAAGAGACTCTATAGAGGGGTTGTGTCCAGTCCCTCCACTTAGGTCTCAGATTACACTCAGCTCTCCTCTCTGTGCTGTGCAGTGTATGACATGGGATCCATGCTCCCTGCCTGTTGAAGCTGTAAATAAGTCTTCGATATATGTGTTTTTAAAAGCTGTAGAGAAGAAATGACAAAAGTACAACTTATGTAGGACCATTTGTTTCATTTCTGCATATCACCTGTCACTTCAGTGGGTATATGTATGGGTTTACAACCACTTTAAAGGGAAAGTCCCTTGTGTTTCAAAACTATTTATTGTAGAAGCCTTTTTAACAAAGAAGACTTTTTACAGATGAAGAATAAACTTCTTTTCATCCATCTTGGTGTACTTTTAGATGCAGATGGGTTGAAACTTACATTTTTTTTTACTTTTTAATTAAAATTGTATCGAAATGCATAAAACCACTAATACTTAAGGTAAAGTTAAAATTTTCAAGCAGAATTTCACTTTTCATAATAAATAGAAGCCTTTTTATAAAGTCTTTTTGGCTCAAGCCATCCCATGTGCTTATCTCTCACTTACCTAGTCCATGGCAGCTTTGAATCTGCACCTCGCTGTTCAAAATAAAAAAAAAAGACTTTCTGAGCCCATTACTCCCTGTATCATCCTGTGACAATCCAGGAAACTTCAGGAAACTGTCTTTCTGCATGATAGAATAGGGCATGTTTACCTCTGTGGACCACAGCTCCCTCATTACCATACCACCTCTTTTTTTTTTTTCCAACCACTTTCCTACTTCTTCCTTTAAGGTGACCATACATTCTACAATCCAATTGTATAATCTCCTTCAGATCTGCCATCAGCTATGTAGTCCATGGACCTGCCTGATTTGAAACAAATTGAATAGATTGTTCAGTGGGTCCTCCTATTCCATAGTTTTGGTAAATCTAGATGAAAATTGTACAGAGATTGTACAAATAGATACAGATTGTATGGCCAGCACTATATCAGTACATGGGGGAGAGATACTCAGCTGTCATTGTTCTTATGTAAACATACCAAATTCACGTTTGAGGCCCCATTCACGCCTAGCGTGGTGGAAGCATACCTTTCCTGCAACACGACCAGGGCAGCCCATTAATTTTAATGGGTTGCCCTACACGCAGCAAAGTAGCTTACGGGTTATTTTGGAATCTTAAGGTTTACCCGTTTTATTCTGCATGTTTTGACACATTTTTTTTTTTACGTGGCAAGATGTGTATTTTCTTCTGCGTTTGGCATGCTGTTAACCGTTAATAACACCTAAAGCGTAAGTAATTAATTTTAGGTGTATAAAGTAAAAGGTTTATCCAATTTGGCAGGCCCTTGCACTGCAGTTGATCTAAATGAGATTGTACAGTCAAATTGTATAGTGTATGGTGAGCTTCACAAACCTCCAGGGACACTCTTCTTCTGTTTTTAATACTACAGCTCTGCTCCACATAGGCTTTTATGTGATTGCTCAGCTCCTGCACACTCTGCCAAATGAATGATCTATGCAAGAAGAAGGTAAGTAGAAAACTGTCAATAAACAGAAGAAGATACTGGCTGTGTATTCAGGGAAAACTGTGCTCACTGAAAATGAGTGCATTAAACTGCAGAGGTGGGCAGGAGCAATCAGCTGCTGAACTACTTCCTTCTAACGGTCTTCATGACCTAAGGGACAGGTAGCAGAAAGTAATGGAGGAGTTTTTCTATAGAAGACAGTTAATCTGAATGAGATTGTACAGTCAAATTGTATAGTGTATGGTGAGCTTCACAGACTTCCAGGGACACTCTTCTCCTGTTTTTAATACTACAGGTCTGCTCCACATTGGCTTTTATGTGATTACTCAGCTCCTGCACACTCTGCCAAATGAACAATCTATGCAAGAAGAAGGTAAGGTAGAAAATTATTGACAAACAGAGGAAGACACTGGCTGTGTATTCAGGGAAAATGGTGCTCACTGAAAATGAGGCAGGCAGAAGCAATCAGCTGCTGAACTACTTCCTTCTAACAGTTTTCATGACCTAAAGGACTTGTAGCAGGAAGTAATGGAGGAGTTTTCTGTAGAAAACACTGGAGGCGGAGGTAATGCCTGTCCTAGAATATAGAGAAAATATTTTTATTTTTCTGCAACACAGGTACATTAACCTCCCTGGCGGTATGATTATTTCAGATTTTTGGTGCTGAAAGCTGGTACCATTTTTTTTGCATGGAGATATGTATTTTTTTTTATTGTAGGCTGTAATTTTTAGGAAAAACTCACTGAAATCTGTCCGAACAAGAGTCTAGTAAACATCCCGGGTATGATAAAATTTGAAACACAAAATCATAAATTATAATTTAATAAATAATCATAAAAATAATATAAAAATAATAAAAAATTTAATTCAATAATATAATCAAACCAAAAACACTGAAATGTGAAATAGAGCGCCAAGTTCGCACATTGCTGAGCTCAGTCGCAAAATCGTTTTCAGTGTCTGATGACGAATTTTTCCCACGAATCATTATCACTCAATTCTGCAAGTGGTTCTGATTTACTATCGCTGTTCTCTAGCTGATCTAAACCGCTTTTGACCTAAAGGGACACTTTTTGGACACCATGGACATTTCTCAGTTTCCAGGCAGAAAGAACAGACAAAATGCAGGCAGGGCACAGGACAAAGCACTCGGGAC